CAAAACAAACAAACAAACAAATCATATATAAGCAATTGCAAATTCATTTCCACAAATATATATTTGGGGTTTCGTTTATTTTTTTTAAATTTACATCATTTATAACAAAAGAGAGAGAGAGAAACAGACAGATAGAAATTTATTTTCCTTTTATTCGCAACCAGATCTTAGCACGTTGAATTCTGTAATATATCAGCATTAGATTATTCAGTAAACAAAATACCAATATTTCTTCAATAAAGCAACAAAAGCTAAAGAAAGTGTTTTAATATATAAGTAAAGGAACTGGTGAACAAAGAATGAAATAGATGCAAAGAAAGACGGACAGATAAACTTATGAAGAGAAGTTAACTGCGTTGATCTAGAACTAAACTATCAATCACATCTGTCATCGCTCCAGTTGCAGCTTCTTGACTTGATGAATGTCTCCAGCTAAATTTATGATTATGATTGATCTGAGTGAAACAGAAAGCATTGTATTCTAGATGAATAATCACGTGGAAAGCAGTAACTAGAATCTCAGTTTCACACGAAGCACTTGAAACCTGAACCTAGGACAGTCCATAAAAAATAACAAGTATAAACCTTGTAAAATACAAGAAACGGTTTTCTTCTTGGAGAATTTGGCAATATCGATTCATCGTCGTTACCCTTCTTTTTTTTTAGCAATACTTCAAACTAACATTTTATCATTCAGACCGTTTTTCTTTTCACCGACTTTCATTTAGTTTTCATAAGATGGAAGCTTCTGATAGGATGTATTTCTTTTTTCTCTCTCTTTTCGTTGTCTATGAAATATAATACAAGTATAAGATGGTTTGAAAGCTTGTAAAATACCAATGTTCTTAGGAGATATAACTCATGGTACATAAAGGTACATCAATTGTTCTAATAACTCTACATTATTCGTATGTCCCATTACCATCAGTAGATTTAAGTTACTATGTTAAAATGTTGTACAATTTCACTCATTATTTATATTTTAGTCTATGAATTCATTACTCTGGTCTAGCAGCAAAACAAGTACAATGTTATCAATGGAGTCGGTGGTAAAATTATCAATGGTAATTCATGGAGACAAATATACATTATGAATATTTATAAGAAAAAAAACCGAAATAGCTGGTGCTACATAATATACTTTTTTTTTTCAAAAACATTTTTCTCTAGGAGTTAGAATTCAGATATAAATATTCTTACAGAAACGACGCATTCCAATGATTCACTGATTTAACGCACTAAGCAAGGTAATCTCATGCACTTACACATACATCAACCTGAACATTTCCATTTCGGCGCCCAGCTTCGATCGAGCTTCGAAACTACATTATGACAGCCTTATTTCGCTTCGGAATATAACTAAACATACACATGAGTAACACAGAAGAAGTAAAATGTAATCTTTGAAAGCCTTTTCTATGTGTAAATTTCAGCATGTAATAGTTGTAGGATTGTGGGAACGAAACCACGTGCTGTTAAGAAGAGACTATTTAATTTCTATTCTCTCCGTGCTTCGCTTATTAGGTCGAAGGACTAGAGCCAGAACGTAATTCCAGTAGAGAATTCGACGTTTTATGGTCGGTTTTCCATCAGCTTGCTAATTCTTTCAACCATACTAAATTGTGCCGATGCACAATGAATACTAGTTGCTCATTACAATTTTACATAAAACTAGAAAACGTTCGCTGGATAGATAGAGAGGAAAGATAGATAGATTTAGAATGTAGTCCATTACTGTAAGCGTTGCATGCATCGAATTTTATGTTAAAATTAAGCATGAGCGCTCGTATGTTAAATCCCTTCTGTTAATAACTCTTATTAAGACTATCGTGTTCACATAGATCTTGTCTCTGTGTTTGTAAGTCAGTTGTCTTCTACACTTCACCTTTAGAGTACAATCCGTCCTTTTCAGCATAAAGACAATATTACAGACACCTGGAGCTTATTTCAAACTACAGAAGAAGAAGAATATTACATTACAACTTTAAGTGGCCAGTCTGTGAGGCCGTTTTTCTTTTTCTTTTCTTAAGTCAAAAAAGATCAATATCTGCCGGAACTGAGGAGCTTGATCCAGAAAAATGGCCTCGTTACGAAGACAGCTGGTCCATGCTTAATGTTTTAGTGCGCGTATTTAAAAGTCAGTTCGTCACGAACCCTGAGTATACGTTGTAACAGTCTGGCATGCACTCCAGACGCTCTAATTATCCTCAATTACTCTGGCTCGTGTAATGATTGATTGAACAAATAGCTTATGTCGATCACCAACTTTAGTAAGTCTGTTATTACAACTAGGAATTTATAGAATGGTCTCACGTGATTGGTACTGAAGGACTGACTTGCATACAGATTCTTATATTGTTTTATTGCTGTTTCTTGTTGTCTAGTATTCGAAATGTTAGGCAACCGCATATGTGTCATATGCAAGTACCATTTTTTTTAATGGCTCTTTTTTTCAGGAAAACAAACCAATACAATTGGTGAAACGGTTAGTTTATATAACGTTATTAATTGCTAAATATCTTTCTAGATGTCTTATTTTTAAAAAATGCATGTTGATGTGGGCTGATATTTCGGATTATTGACTACGAAAAATTTGAATTTTTCAGTTAATAGCTTTTTTATTTATGATAAAAACATGAAGACTGTGAAAATACACAACTATCTTAAATTAGGTTTAAAATAGATGTTATACATTACTTAACTATGTGTGTTTCGAATTTTCCAGACTTAATTTCCTAATTCTCAAAAAAAGGAATCAGCTTTACATACATTGGACAAATTAATGTAGAGATCACCAAATAGTGGCAAAATATTTACAAGTAACTAAATCATAATTCGAAAAATATTAGCTAAACTGAAATTTTGTGTCCTCTTAAGGTAAACTATTAATCACCGAGCTATGAACGTGACTCTGGTCCACATGCTACATCTTCTAGTTTCAGGATATCTGCAGCAGTCACACGCTTCAGAAATACTGGCAAATTTTAGAGTTCTCAGTAATATTTTTCCTACTGTACTTGAGAATTTGTCCATTTAGAGTAACCAACATGGCCTACGATGTCGTTGTACGCCCTGTATTAGTTTTATAGAGAATATCTGGTACATATTTTCTTACTTCTAGCATTTCTAGTGCATTTGGTGTGCAACACGTTCCTGTCTTGACTTCTCAAGTTTCCTACAGTGCATTTGGTTTGTTTTTGTTTTCTGAATTTTGTTCAAAGCTACACGAGGGCTATCTGTGCTAGCCGTTCCTAATTTAGCAGTGTAAGACTAGAGGGAAGGCAGCTAATCACTGCTACCCACCGCCAACTCTTACGCTACTTATTTACCAACGAATAGTGGGATTTACCGTCACATTATAACGCCCCCACGGCTGAAAGGGCGAGCATGTTTGGTGAGATGGGGATTCGAACCCGCGACCCGCAGATTGCGGTGCATTTGGTGTTCAATCCGTTCCTCTCTTGACTTTTCAAGTTTCATATAGCATATATAGTGTTCAATCCGTTCTGCTCTTGACTTCTTAAGTTTCCCACAATGTTTTTGGTGCTCAATCCGTTCCTCTCTTGACTTTTCAAGTTTCATACAGAGCATTTGGAGTGCAATTTGTTCCTGTCTTGTATTCTCAAGTCTCCTACTTTGGTTTGGATAATATATTTTTAATTAATGCTTTACTTTTTTGTTTTAATTTCTTTTGAATTAATTTTGAAATCTTCACTGAAAAGTTTAAGGTGGAAAATCTTGCTTTAATTTATGTGAATAAAATAAAGCTTTCAGCTCATTCTTAGATTCTGATTTTGTTCACTGAGAATAATTTCTGGGCACAAAATGTTACTATCACTTATAGTGTCTGTATTGTTATTTTTCTCTAAATTACAAGAAACACTTCATAGTGAACAGGAATTAAGGTTCAAGCTTACCTTTTTCTTTTCTGTATGAAACGTGACTTCTTCTAATTATTTAAACTTAGTTCTTTCCGTTCAGTATGAAACATAATTTATCCTAATTATTTAAACTTAGTTCTTTCCGTTCAGTATGAAACATAGTTTATCCTAATTATTTAAACTTAGTTCTTTCCGTTCAGTATGAAACATAGTTTATCCTAATTATTTAAACTTAGTTCTTTCCGTTCAGTATGAAACATAGTTTGTCTTAATTATTGAAACTTAGTTCTTTCCGTTCAGTATGAAACATAGTTTGTCCTAATTATTTAAACTTAGTTCTTTCCGTTCAGTATGAAACATAGTTTGTCCTAATTATCTAAACTTAGTTCTTTCCGTTCAATATGAAACATAGTTTGTCTTAATTATTGAAACTTAGTTCTTTCTGTTCTGTATGCAACTGAATTGTCTTAATAATTCAAGCACAGCCCTTCCTGTTCTTTATGAAACAAGTCTTGCCCTAATTATTTAAGCTTAGCTCTTTCTGGACTGTACGAAATGTGGCTTGACCTAATAATTCAAGCTTAGCTCTTGCTCTTCCATATGAGACGTAACTCGCCAATTTCTTTTCTGTTAATTTGACAAGATTAGCATTTCGGGAAATGAAGACATTTGATAAACGGCGGTATCCTCGCCGACATGCAAATATTACGGAGACCACATAAACTGAATGTGGATGCTTTATGTTTTTGTTAGGTACTAATTAAACATAATATTTGTGCTCCAGTAGGCTACAAGTGCGATAATATAGAACAAGAGTATACACAATCTCGAGCTTAGGCAGAAATTTATATAAAGTGTTTTGAGACTACTTTTGGAGAAAAAAAAGGAAATTCTTGGTGAACTCATACATTTTTACTGAATCCTGTGCATTTTGATGGTATATGAAACTGTTTTACACCTTTTAACTCAGTTATATATATATATATGGATGCAGTTTAGGTGGTGCGATTGCAGCATATGATATATAAACTATATTCATTATTATTATTATTTACACGTTTACACTTACGTTTTTGAGTCTTGTTCCACAGTTATTTACCAGAAACATGAGGTTAAAGTGTATAATGAAAACGTCCTTCAAGGAAACACTGGATTATTACGATGTCTTATACCAAGTAGCATCAGAGATCACGTGACTGTGACTTCATGGACCCGGACAGATGGACATGTCATATTCCCTTCTCAGTCATATGGTAAGAAGTTTATTGTGGTAAATAGCTTTCAATGTATTAAAAATTTTCAAAATTAGGCTTCATATATTTAGTTATTATGACTCGTAATTTTTCTAACATTGCTGAGCGATTATCACTTTTGCAATTCGATTCGATTATGGATTCGATATTTGTAAATAATCCTGATTACGGTTATCAATTATTCAGGTGAGGTTAGTTTTAGAAAAAAAATATGGGAACAAACCAACAACAAGGAAGCAACGGAAAAAATAACCGATGACTTGGTGTTCATTAACTGAATAAATAATACTAGACATCATACAAGAAAGAATAGTTAATAATAGATGACTTGGTGTTGATTAACTGAATAAATAACACGATACATCATACAAGAAAGAATAGTTAATAATAGACGATTTGGTGTTCATTAACTGAATAAATAATACTAGACATCATACAAGAAAGAATAGTTAATGATAGACGATTTGGTGTTCATTAACTGAATAAATAATACTAGACATCATACAAGAAAGAATAGTTAATAATAGACGACTTGGTATTCATTAAGTGAATAAATAATACTAGACATCATAGAAGAAAGAATAGTTAATAATAGACGACTTGGTGTTCATTAACTGAATAAATAATACTAGGCATCATACAAGAAAGAATAGTTAATAATAGACGACTTGGTGTTCATTAACTGAATAAATAATATTAGACATCATACAAGAAAGAATAGTTAATAATAGACGACTTGGTGTTCATTAACTGAATAAATAATATTAGACATCATACAAGAAAGAATAGTTAATAATAGACGACTTGGTGTTCATTAACTCAACAAATGAGATGTCTTATAAAAAGAATAGTTACTAATAGATGACTTGGTGTTCATTAACTGAATATATAACATGATACATCATACAAGAAAGAATAGTTAATAATAAACGACTTGGTGTTCATTAACTGAATAAATAACACGATACATCATACAAGAAAGAATAGTTAATAACAGATAATTTGGTGTCCATTAACTCAATAAATAATACTAGACACCATACAAGAAAGAATAGTTAATAATAGACGATTTGGTGTTCATTAACTGAATAAATAATACTAGACATCATACAAGAAAGAATAGTTAAGAATAGACGATTTGGTGTTCATTAACTGAATGAATAATACTAGACATCATACAAGAAAGAACAGTTAATAATAGTCGACTTGGTGTTCATTAACTCAACAAATGAGATGTCTTTTAAAAAGAATAGTTACTAATAGATGATTTGATGTGAGACGTCATACAAGAAAGAACAGCTGATAATAGATGAGTTGTGCCAATTAACTTAATAAATAATACGAAAGGTCGTACAAGAAGGAACAGGAATCTGGAACTACAATTTGTTTTATTCATAAATGAAAAAAAATTGTAACTTGTTATTTTGCCTTGTTCATTTCTTCGAAAAACATTATAATTACGAAACAGTTTGTGTGTACGTGTATATATGTTTGCCTGAACATTATATATATATATTTAATGATCAACAGTCACCTTGTATTAATAACTGACAAGTTGTTTTTGTGTGTGTTTCTTCTGACTAAATCCTAATGAGCTTCCTAACAAACAACACCACGTATTTGGCTGTTTAATATGCATTATGGGAGCTGTATTTCAAACTAGATAGCGTGGCTCTGCTTGAATTGCTTCATGGCTTACCCTGAAATATGGATTCCAGTGGGGTGTGACAGTTCTTACCCAATAAAATTAATTAACCCGACACGCTGGTGTTACCGGGAATAAAGATAACCAGAAAAAGAATGTCATACGAAAGTTCACAAACGTAATGTTTTTAATGATTATTTTTGGTGCACAGTTCAACATTTAAAATGTTTTTTTTTTTCTGTTAGCCCTGTAGATAAGATAATGATAAGAGCAGTGTCTGCGAGTTTTCTCTGCTAGTGAACACACAAACGATGCTCAGTTTTTATGTACTAATCGAATCAAAATGTAGGTATTAAGTAATCGAATAAATTGTATTTCAATATTTATTGTAATAATCGACAATCTAATCGAGATTTTGAATAATCGCTCAGTATTGTTTTCTAACGTGAAAGTTTTAAGTTTGGTTACGAAAATTATAAATTTTGTCTCGCGAAAGAGGAAAGCTTTTGAGTATAAATATTCTGAAACATGCAGTTATAGATATAGATTTTTATTCTTACTATTCCCTAACAGCTTTGCTCTCTCCCTGTAACTCAGCGTCAAGCTTGAAGACTGATAATTTGGTTTTGATACTCGCGTTAGGCACAGCTCATTGTGTACCTTTGCGGTGAACAACAAACAAAACAGCTTTGACTTGACACCATATAAACATATTTATTCATAAAAGACAAAATTAGACATTTATGTTAAAACAAAATTAAGTATGAGAATTACTGATTGGTAGATAATTAGTTTGTTGTGCATGAAATGGAGGAGACCGCGGGGGGAGAGTTGTTCACCTGCTTGAAATAGAGGGGACCGCGAGGGAACGTTGTTCACCTGCTTGAAATAGAGGGGACCGCGGGGGAACGTTGTTCACCTGCTTAAGGAAAGAGCAAAAATGTTTGATTTTGTCCCCAATCATATATTTTTATAAGTAAAGGTACTATCCTTAGAAAATGCTCCAGAATTTCACAAAGTTTTAGCGAGAGCACCCTAAACTATGTGGCCCGGCATGGCTAGGCGGTT